GAAAGTTGAAACTTATGCAAAGCCTTTTGATGAAACCCACAATATTTACACGGTTCTAAAAAGAGAAGTGCAAAAATTGTTATTTCTAAAGCAGATGAACAAATGTCTCTCTCTTAAGGCTTTCTTAAGGCTGCATTATCTATGCCAATTAAAATTGTGCTTCTGAAAAAGAAGTTCAGGCACTTCCTCTAGAGTTACTAAAAAAAGCAAATGAAAGCCTTGGCTACGCAGAGGTGAGCGACAGCCACTCGTTTGTTCTTGACCCCTGCATCACCCTACAGATCAAATTCTCGGACATAGGAAAAACCCACCAGTATTCATTAAAAGCAACTGGGAGGCCAGCTTTGTGCTTCGCTTCTTGAGAGCAGAGCGAGCTGCAACCTGACAAAGGTGCAGGATATTGCCTGACAATGGCACTGCTCCTGTCAGAAGGGAAGAGCTTTATCCCCAGCTTCACTCAAAACAAAGCCATGTTACGCACAGTGATGCAAATCACAGGTTTTGAGCCATTATTTAAATCATCCATTTTTGCCTTTTAGGTTTGTGCTTTTCCACTATTACCATGAAGTTGATTCAATTAACCATTAAAATGCATTCATTTATACCAAATTAGCTTTTATGCAAAACATTTCTGCTCCTCAAAAAGATTCATCTCTACAGCAATTTAAACAAATATTTATGCTGAAAGTCTTTGGTCTTCAGTTTCACTTTGCATACGGGTAGAATTTGCCCACATATTTTAATAGCAAAAAAACCAACGTAACTGATTGCTTTATGAGATTTCACACCCGTGACACTTCTTATGAAACATTATGGAGAACAGAATTTAAAACTGGCAAATGAACCTATCATCTAACTGTTCATGAAGTTACATACCACGCAGCTCTAAGCACACACAAGTTTAACACGACATTTTCTCATTACAACTTCTTGTGTCTTTTAAACAAACCAAGAAACAGCTAGCTGAGGAGATGGACAAAAGAAGACAGAAAATATTTTCCCTCAACAATTGTTTCTGTCAAAATGTGGTTTAAAAAGCTCTGGCTCCTGTTAACTGCAGCTCTCCAGTGGTTTGACTGCTTTAAAGCCTTATCCAAATCCAGACATTGCTAGAATATTTGCATTCAAATGTCAGTAGCACACTACAGTAAATGCAGACCTCAGCGCGGATGAACAATTACAAACATTATTTAAACACATGTAATTTAAAGTACCAACATTTGAATTTAAGTAAAATATGTGATCACTTCAGACATATTCAGTACCTGGAGATGCATGAAAGCACACAGCCTCTGCTTACCCTCCTAAAGATACAGCAGCATACGAGTTGTGCTTATGTGACCCTGACATACAGAGCCTCACAATTTAAACTTCAGTTATCCATCACTGTTTGTAATTTTGTCTTATTTAGTAACTAGCCTTAATCTCACATATACAAAGGGTAAAATCTTTCTATTGTCCTGAAAGAGTTTTGACCACATGAGGTATAAACTATTAGGGCAAAGTCAGAAGGACTGGAAAGGAGAGAAACATTTGGTGGACAACCTGCAAACTGAATGCACAACCTTCAGCCACTTTACTCCTTTCGGGGCACATCCAAGAATCTCCTTCCCAAGGTGTGAAAACATCTGTTAGATTTTCCTCCTCTGACAGCGAGCAGAGCCCAGAGCGTGCCTCACATCCCACCTTGACCTTTCCTCTGCTAGAGGCTGTTGCTCTGTTTCCAAGTCCCCTTCAGCTAATGCCATTTAATACTCTCAGAACCATCAGGCTAAATTCAAATTTTCTGCTCCTTAGAGGCTGTTGATACGCACCGCTGCACATTCCAATTGCAAATACACATGAATGCTCCTGTGTATTCTAAGTTATTTTCTATGCACAAATTCTACTAAATTGTAAGTTAGGAGGCACTACTTGAATTCTCTCAGGTCTTTAGGAAGCTTTCAGATGCACCAGGAGCAATAAGACGTAATGAATATGGACTGATATTTCTTTTCTGTAGTTACACTGAGTTAGCAATTTACATTTTCTAAACAGATAGATGACTTATAGCCAGTTTTCCCAGTCTTCTGGCAATTACTTCTTAGAATCCTCCGACAGGCTGAAGCCTCCAGAATCACAGCTGTTATTCTTGGGTTGATCCCCCTTTTTAAATTAAAACCAGTAGCTTTATCAGCAAATGAGATTTTTTTCCCTCTGGAAATACAAAAATGCACATAAATTGAACGTGCCAACTTATCTCATTTTAGGGTTGGAGCATCTTCTGGGTTAACGACCACTGTTCCACACCTGTGACAGAACTAATTGGGGTAAGGAGGCCATAAATACATACAACTCCACCACAAATTCTCTTCCTTTGGGGTAATCTAAAGATTTATAGGTAGTAGAGTGAGACGTCATTGGAGAAGAAGGGGAAAAAAAAAAGTGCCAAAATGCTCATCTGATTATTCTGTCTCAGTTTCCAGGCACAGATCAGATTTGAAACATTTTTCCAGTATCTGATGTGACTTTTCCTTCCTCTCAAGAACCAAGTAAAATGCAGGGAACGCTTAATTTTTACACTTTCTAAGGCTAAAAGCAAACAAATCTATCCTCTGAAGAGACTCCATGTACTGATCTAAAAAGCTGCACCCTAAGTGATAGACCCAAATCAAATTCTCATCACCAGTTGCTTCAGAACATGGTTTGACAAGTTTTTTCAGCTGACCACAGATGAAACATCCTCCAAAAGAGAGCAAAAGCAGGACTTGGGCAGAGCTCAGCTTGTCTTTCTAGCAATCCAGCTTAATCTCCCAGCAATCACTAATTGGGAAAGCTCAGTTATCAATCAATGCTTGTGATTCTATGATTCTATGAATGAATTGATAGGGAGGAATAATTAAGATTTGTCTGCCATGAGAAGGTCAGAATATGTATGTCACTCGTTCATTATGGTTAAAATCAACTCTGACGACTTGACCCTTGATATTTCAGAACAAATATTCTAAATTCCCGTGCACACGTGCAAAATGAAACACTTCAGATGCAGGTGGAAGTTAAAGGGTAACAAATTGTCATTACGAATTTGGAAACCACAGGGCAGAAAACAGTGCCACATTTTGCCAGTACACAAACATTAACACATATAAAAGGCATTTCACACGGTTCCCCCATTTCAGAATTCCAAGTTCTCTCTTTCACAAAAATACCTTTTCCAAGACTTGGGTTCTACATTCTCATCCAGACCACTTTCAGGAACTGTTTAATAAAAAGCCCTCCAGGAAATCTGTCTCAAATAAATCTGAAAAGATGCCCACACGCTGCAATCACTGGATGCCTGCAGAATGCAAGCTGCCCTCTGTCTCATACATACACGTGAAATAAACTGAGCACAATCTTAATCTTAGGTTGCTGCTCATACAGCTGATCATCCTGCAGCAAGTCTCAAATCCACGGTACCACCTGTAGGGCTTTTATGGACTCTGTCTTCTGTGCGTTTTCTGTTGCTATAGTGAAAAGAAACACTGTGAAATATCTTTACAAGATGGTTCTTATGCTGAATTAAGACCATCTTTCCCAATTAGGTGATATTACAAGATTTAGAGGGTTAAGTTAAGCAGTGTCAGGTTGATTTAAGCTAGTTTAAATGAAGAATTTCAAATAGAGCTCCATGACTGTTTTGCAGCCAGCACCAGTGTAAAAACATTATCTACAAAGCATTGTCAGAAACATCACCGTGTACATGAACTACCAAAGACTGAGAGTTAAGTGAACAGTAAGGAGAAGTACGAAAAAGACAAGTACAAGAAAAGGGGAAAATTTCTCAGGTCCTCATGCATTTGCCCCATTCTTTGGCTTAATATTCTCTATTTCCTCTTTCTCTACATTCACCTGTAAAACACGCCTGACACCAAAAATATAAGTTATAAGCTTAAAATAAGCCCTCTTTAAAGGCATGCACAAATCAGCATCTAAACACTTCAACTGACAATTAAGAATGTCAGGTAGCATAATGATCACCACCACTGCAGATCAGTTTTCCAGTGGAGGCTCAAGGAGCCGTGATTGTTGCTAGTGTAAGAATTCAAAATGAGTGCTACCAAACGATCCTGAAGGTTTTTGCAACCGCAGTGATTCTATGAAAACCATATTGACTAAGCTAAGATGATTTCAAAGGCTCCACAGAGAGATAACAGGCACTGCAATTCAACACGTGGAAAAAACAAGACAGGGTCTCCTTAGAACAACAATGGACAGTAATTTTCCTCTTGCATATAGTTGGTTCAGGAATTGAAATCAAAACTGTCTCAATATCATATTATTATAACTTGACAAGCAGAAGAGAACACTGCCTGTAACTGATCTGAAATAGCACTCAAAGCACCTGCTGCCTTCTACTTTGTGCTACATGGTGCTAAATGCTACCATACCAATCTATGAGAGCAGCAGATACAAACATCTAAATAGCATACAATATAATGGAACTTCCTTCCCTAATACACATTAAGATGCCCTTTCAGTTAATCCACAAGCACAGAACAGATACTGCATCCACTATTTTTCAACTGTGTTCAGCAGGCAGAATAGAGATGACAACCTTCTCCCCGTATTTCACACAGATGGCCACACGCAGCATGCTTATGCACACAAAGAATACAGCCACTGCTTCAGAGCAGTTGACAGCTAGGTTTTATACAATTCTGCAGGGCAAAGCAACAAAGCAGCTTCGTGCATTTTCAGCAGGAATCATTCCTGTTGTGGTTTACACAGAATCACAGAATCACCCGGGTTGGAAGGGACCTCAAGGATCATGTAGTTCCAACCCCCCTGCCTAGCAGGGCCACCAAACACACACATTCACATCAGGTTGCCCAGGACCCCGTCCAACCTGGCCTTGAACACATCCAAGGACGGGGCATCCACAACCTCCCTGGGCAGCCCGTTCCAGGGCCTAACCACTCTCCTTGTAAAGAAAGTGGTTTAAGTAATCAAGAGCAAATAAAGTTTAAATTCAGACTTACCATGGGGCACCGTATATCCGGAATCCTTTAACTGTTACTTCTGAATCTTGTAAGTAAATACTATTTGTCAGGAGTGACTGAACATTGTCAAAGTCCTCTGGTTTCAATTTGGACACAGAAGGAAAGCGGTAGTAATCTTGTTTAACAAGGTCTGCCATGAATTCCTTATCAAATGTCAGTTCATGATTCCCAGCAATCACTATTTTATATTCATATGGCAGGTTTCCTGAAATAACAAAAAGAGAGGACTTAATTAGCACATTCTTCTCCCACACCTCATTGCCAGCACAATAAGTAGACAGCTAGCAGTGACAGAATGAAATACCCAAAATCTGTGCGCACCTCCGTTTTGAGCAGAAGTCATTAACACCGCCTCTCTTCCATTGAATTGAACCGTTTTGAAATGTAAAAATAATGCCACAAAGAAACATCCTAATAAAAAGTGTGCGCTTTCACAGATTCTGTCTCACTGAGACTTGCCAAAAATCACATGCAAGTTTGCATCAAAGCTGAAAGTAGTCTAACATCCCCCCCTCTGCCATCACTGTAAGTCATTTTCTTGTCTTTTAACCAATCTTTTACTTTGGTGCATACTCCTAACAATCATTTAGAAACTGATTTTTTTTTCTTCCACAAAGGCACAAGCAGATGGATTCAATATATCGTTATATGTTCACTTCCTGTACTGCTCATGGGTCCGTTGTTATTTACACAAACCACAAAAGCAACAATGGACCCACCATAATCGTTAGTGCTGTTAGCCCAGATCTCATATACACACACAAACACACACAGACGTAGATGTTAGTAGATGTTACCATCCACTAATTTGGAAGTAAAACACAGGTCCTCAAAACACGTGGAAATTCATGCGTACATCTTCCTGTTCTGCAACTTCAACATCTGCCTCAGAGAAGCAAGGACCTGGATGCTATGTATTCCTCTTGAATATTCTTCCCCTATTCATGAGCATTTGCTCTTTCACAGCTTTGACAGTTTAAACACTGAGTTTCAAGCAGCTTCTGAAAGTGTTTCTTCTTCTGTTAAAAAGAAGCTTTTAACAGTACCTGTAAGCACCTATATAGCAAGATTAACCTTCCCCTAAGAAAAGCTCACAGAAAACTAGACCCAACTCTGCTTTTCAGTATTTACACAGAAACTATGCACGGAACACAAGCATCATCTTCACAAAAATCAGCTAATTCTGGACAGAATAACTAGAAGTTATAAATCCCTTGAAAAAAAGAAAAACACACAATTTCATAGATTTCAAGACTGAACAAAATGCAGGTCATACACAGTCGTAACTCTGCACTTCTACATTGGACTAAAGGCTGGGGGAGATGCAATAAACACTCCTTTACCTTATTCCCTTCCCCATGTCTGCTACGTGCATCTCTGCAATTCACACCAGAAGTGGCAAGTAGCTACAATTCCTGCTCTCCGACAATCCTGGGCACAAGGTAAAATCCCTGCTTTCTTTTCTCAGGAAACACAAAAGAGACAACTGGCACGCAATGTGATATGCCCCATCAGAGCTGCCAGTCCCCCAAAACATGCTAAATGGGATTATGTTCTCAGAAAAGTAGGATGAATATGTCAGATTCAAGTTTCTGCCACGTTATCAACATTTGCCACCTTTAGCAGAGAAAACTTCTCGTCTTACTAGATAAATGTCTGCATTTTACGCTCTCTCCAGTTTGTTTTGATAAGAGATTTGAAAATTGGTGCATTTTCCTGATATTATGTTCAATTAAACCTGGGCCACTGTGTTTGAAGCCAGTGCTTTCTATCTCGCTGTGTTAAAAAGAGGGCTTACTTTGAAGACGTAGGACATGAAAAGACAGACCAGTTGTGGGATCAGTGAGTACTGAAAGGTGCAAATGTAATATTTTGTTATATAAATGTTATTTAAACACCTGAATTCAGCAGAGAATAATCTAACAATACTTGCTGCAGTTGATGTCCAAAAAGCTGTTCATTTTTACTGAACGTGGCCCTGCTTGGTCAGGTTGTGAGTGCCAGCAACGGAAAAAGGAGCCTCAGGTTTTGAGCCAGGTAAAAGCAGGGAGCTCAGGGCAGAGCTGTACCGATGAACCCTAAGGATCAACAGCACGGCCTGAGAAACATGGTCCTCGAGGAGAAATCCCAATTGTGACCAAATGTGTCAGTGCCTGCCTGTGAGCTCCAGCTCTGCTGTAGTTCACATACAGTGAAGAGCACAAACACCTGACGAGCAAGCAGTGCTGGCTGGAGATGTGTTTGCTGCAGGTCCACGTCCCCACGAAGGGGGAAGACAAGACGTGCTTCTTTCCATAGCTGTACATATTTAGCACAGGATGGGGACAAAGCTTTGACCTAGCTCCCTTGCTCCGTGCCCTGATTGTTTAAAACACTCTCCTTTTCTGGAGTGACAGCCACTGGTGCTGGCTCAAGGGACAGAGATGAGACATACAACTGACAACAACACAAATGTACCAACGCCAGGCCCAAGCAAAGGAGAAGCCAGAGGAAGTCTCATCCATTTCTTTCCTCTTCCCAGAGGAAAGACTATCTAGTACTAATCACAGTAATAAATTACCTGCAATTGGATTTAGCTATTTGTTCATCGCATTTAGGTTTTCCCTTCCAGAAAGACCTGCTGGCAGTGCACAACATTCATCCTCTCTGATGCAATTTATGAAACATTTTGGTGTTTCTTCCTTTGACAGTTCTGCCCTTTGTCTGTAATCTGCTGACCTTTTGTGCTTCATACAGGAGCATGAACAGCTACACAAAGTCTCCTACTCTGTGGTATTTCAGTTTCCATCTTGACTAGATTAATCTCTGCATTACTACTTCCACGCTGTTCAGTAAGAGAGCCACTGCAGCACAATACACAGGATGAAAGGTATTCTCTGACTTTTCTTGACTGCATTTCTGCCAGGTTGGTCTTCATTATTTTCCCAACAATTATTTTTCCATCACGTATCAGTAGTATCATTCATTCCATAGTATACCGTGAACCTAGAAAAGGTACTTTTCAAGCTAGAAAAAGAGTTGATGTGTTTGATGGGATACACTCTTCAGAAACCTCAACTCCCCAAGTAAGATCTAGATTTAAATTAAAAATACTTACCTGTTTTCCATGAGAAATCAATAAGGTACTAAAAATGATTAGAGCACTGTGTCTACACAAACAGTCTACTAAACACTGTATTTTGTAGGTAATGTGATACTAATTGTCTAAATAGTGGTAGAAGCCTGTATTTACTACATAAATACTTCTGATGTGAAGCTCTGAATAACTATATGCATGCATTAACTACTCAAACCACACAACACTTCTATGAAAGGTTAAGTGCTTTCATGTACATTTCACAGACTCATAGACCCTTTGGCCATACGCTAAGAACTGGGCTTAGAAACCTTGAAGTACAAATCTTTGTCCCTTCAAAAAGAAGGAAAATCTCTACAAGTGAGATGCCTGCACAAGTCAATTCCCTCCAATTCAGTGTGCCATACATGCTTCAAAGTCATAACTGGCCATGAAACCTGTAAGCAACTGTATACACACCTCCAGAGATAAATACGGAATGAGCTGATTCTGTGCTGTTCCAATGGACTTCCAGTGACTGCAGGGTGCCATCAGTTGTCCAGCCACAGCTGCACAAGTGCCCAAGGCAGCCAGCGAACATCACTGAACAGAACAGCAGTGCCGTCCAGCAGCACTGTAACTCCCCACAGGTTTCTTGTGGGGAGCCCACTGAATGTCCAGACAGTAACTACTTTCTTCTCAGCATTTACAGTACAACCCCAACACACACAAACTCTGTCCAGCATTTTAAAAGAGCGTTTGAAAGGCTCCGATTAATCCTTCAGCAGCAACAAATGCATTCTGCACAAGTACAGTTAGGAAGGCTTGAGCTCTCATGAAACACTAGACTTCTCTCACCAAAAAGGGTAACAGTCCACTCACTGTAGGTAAAGGGATTCAAAATTGGGTAAGAAAAACAAACATCAAACATCTAGGATAAGATGGATTGTAAAAATTTTCTGGCTGTTTTGATCAAACAGCTTGCAAAGAAAGTCCTCAATGGAAAAGCTAATACTGACACCAACTGATACATGGATTGAAAGCCTAAACCACGTATGCCAATGCATCTTCCCCTTGTATCTGTACAAGTTTAAAGACTGAAATAAATAAAAAGAGTGGAAAAATTATAACACATGCACAAAAATAGAACAAGATTCTAAAGAAGGAGAAAGAGCTAAAGTACAAGAGCTCGCAAAGTCTTCACGATGAAAATATTCCTCCAGCTTTTAAAATTGCATCAGTTCAGACGCCTTTTTTTTTTTTTTCCCCACTCTAAAAGAACATTTGGAGAAGGAAAACTAAGGCAAAACACACACAGGCAATGCAGCAAGGCAAGCCGATGAATGGAAGTTTAAATGTTTTGCCTTTTTGCAAGGAAAACAGACCACAGCACAGGGAGAAGCAAAGGCTGAGACCCTTGAGTTCCAGTGATAAATCTAAAGCTTGCACATTAAAGCTCCCCTTTGTTGAAAATGCTGTTAGACACAACAAAACAGAAATGTTACGTAAGTGCAAGCTCTGCCTCTGACCTTTCACTCTGTAACCGTCAGGCTTCATTAATTTTCACAAGGCCTGACAGCTCTAGCGTTAATACTCACACTTGCTGATCGAGCCACACAGCAGGTTCAGACTGCTACCTTCTCCTCTGAAACTCATGCATTAGGATTTCTTCCATGCTGGCAATGGAAAACCAAGTCTAAGAAACATTAAACACAAAAAACTACGTTACAATAATGCCAAGGTTGAGTCATAAACCCATGAAAGCAAGGAAGTATGGAGTGAATGTTGCCTCAGCACCTACAACTCAGCTGTGCAAAGCCAAGATATTGCAGCCTGTAACATCTTCTCTGAGCAACTCAGGTACCAGCGCTGCTCAGCCTAGCTGTCTGACACTGCAGAACCAACAAACCTACCACCAAGTGCTTCCATTCGTTCTCTCTCCCATCTAGGCAAACGGAGTGAGTTTGTCACAATGCTGGGCCGCAACATCGCCAAGTGCAGCTCAAACCCTGAGCCAGGGCCATGTATACACTGCCAAACCAGTCAGCTGTGGTCTGACTGAATCACACTCTGACATGGGGAACGGTTCCTTGCTTTTATGTATTTATGTCTCAACCGTAACATTATTCTAATGTAACCATTTGTGATTA